ACATTCAAATTATTATATCCGGCTTGTTGTTCTGTTTTTTCAACAGTTTTTAGTGGATTTGTCATAGACCTAAAGCCGTTCAAGATCAATCAAGGGTCACCAAGAATTTGGCCTGCAATTCAAAATGGCCTCCAAAATTCAAAATGGCCGCAAACAATTATATTAGGTCTATTAAGCCGGTTACTCAATTCGTGCGACGGCGACGCGACGAAGAACGCACGCGAAGACGCGGGCACAACGGATCGTCTTTTGAGCCTGGTTCTCACGAGAGCCCTAGTATCCGGATCGGGAGCTAACCGTTAGCGCTAACCGTTAGCACCTGCGTGAGAACGCCCGATCGGTTAGCGCTAACCGTTAGCGGTATCCGGATACGCTAACGGTTAGCAAGCGCTATCGGTTAGCAAGTTGAGGGCGTTTCTATCATCAACCAATCACCAATCGTTTACAATTTCCAGTTTCTTATTGGCCAGTGATTCGATCATCATTATTGTTGGTATCCGGAGCGGGATTTTCTCGCATGGACGCACGGCAGCTAACGGTTAGCAGGATCCGGATCCTGCTAACCGTTAGCTGCCGTGCGTCCATGCGAGAAAATCCCGGGTCAAGAAAACAAAAAGTTCCCGGACTCCCTGGGTAATGTTGTCTCTCGATTAGCACCCTTTCGGACATCTTTGGATTCGCTTCTGACTAATACGGTACTAATACTGATACCATCCACCACTTCTACGTACTACTACTACATTTTTTTTATAAGCACACATTTTATAAACACTGAGGCAGAAAATGCTTAAAAATTAAGAACAACATAAGAACATTTTGAGCCTGAAATCGGCGAAAAAATAAGAACACTGATCCTGGGCAAAATTTTACTGGTTCTTATAAAAAAATAAGTGTACTGCTAGTCTAAGACCGGTTATTTGTTTATGTCCTTTGGGATGAGGAAGGTACTTCGTCTATTCTGCACTGCTTCCCTCTACCCAAATGGGTACTGTATCTTGTTTGGTTTTTATTCTAATGCGCTGAATACGGCTTGAACATGTTGAACGATTGTTCTATATACCTAATCATTTTACAACCGGATTCATAGTTGTGTATGACGTCATATTTTTTATGTATGTGAATTTTTATTCCAAGTGATTTCGCATTGTTTGCGACAGGCTTTGCAAAAAAAAAATTCAAAATTATTAACGACATCAGGACTGCATCAAGGAAATGCAGTAAAAACAGGTCTTTTTACAGGAAATACGATATTTATTTCGTCAATCGAAGAGGATTTATCTTAACTACCGGCAGACATAAATTCTTCGTAAGTGAACGCGTTGAAATAAAGAGATGAGGTTTTTCTTGCCGGCGCCAGGTAATGCGAAATGGGATTTTCCTAAGTCTCCATTAATTAGCGTTGTAGTATTGTTTGTGTGCTGCAAAAACGAAGAACAAAACATGATTGTTACGATGGAGGAAGTAAAAATCTAATCCAGTCATTTGTAATCTTGATAAGAAGGAATGAAGGTTCCTTACTCACGTTATACATGTATCACGTACTACAAATTATGTAAAAGAACTGCACCTAATGCGCGTTGCAGAAATTCATTGTTAATTTAGGAACAGCTATATTTATAATGCAATGATTATTACGTGGCAGTGTTTAGGCCTATGTTCGCTTTAAAAATATGTATGCCTAGTACTTAAGGGGAACTAACGTCACCCTTCCTATCCTATTTGTAACGATTGAGTGAATTGAAATGTTATACATTATACAAGGAACGATGGATGTTATATAAACAACTTGTCTGTCAGATGGTGGATTTAGCAGTAAATAATGTAATAATATTTTTATAAAAATCTTAATTGCTTCCGTGGTATTTACTTACTATAAATGCAGAAATAATCTTCTTTTGAACGATCTCTCCTGCATAATAATAACGCAATTTACTGTAGATCTGCCGGAGATGTTTACACGATTTATTCGTTCTATCTGTTCTACCGCAGCAATCTACCAATTTAATCGACTTTTAAAACGTCTATGCTATAACGTAGGGGCCTAATGCTGTTTAAAGTGGTCCGCTCATACACAATCAAACTTACTGTCGCATTCATCATTAGTGATCGCAACCATCTAATGTACACGACTAATCTTTTTTTGTTTTAATCTGATTATTAATTTCCTTCGCCTCTCCGAAGGGAAGCAGCGAGGGTATTGCAAAAGCTCGCGTCTATGTGGGTGTGCGTGCGTGTGGGTAGGTGCGCATGCATTACAATTTGTTTTGTGCTCCAAATATCTTGTCCGAGTTCGCCAAACGGTGCGAAATCGCTGAAAATTAGCCCTAGATAGAAGATTGAGCAATATTTTTAACGTGTCTTCGTTAATATTAGACAGATTTTTCTGGCTGTTTTGCAACGTGTTCCTTAATTATTAAGCTAAAATGTCATGTTATTTTTAATTTTAAAATCAATGATGGGTCGTCGGAATCATTTTGTTTAAGCAAGGTCATTTGGCGATCGTCCAGTGTATTAACTCATTTCTATTTACACAATTTTGCGATCATATTTACAAAAATCACTCTCATTTCTAAACGCGTGGGCCGATTGTAACGGCTGTTTCTGTACGTAAAAATAGATTAATCGAGCTGTCTGTTAAGCTAAAAATCAATTTGATTGGATAAGAGGTCTCATCAGAGCGCATAACTCAAATAATACTGGACCGATTTCACACATTGACAATGTTACATGTATCTTGGTCCTCTTTGAATTCGGTGCTGATCGGAAGTAAGATGCAGATTTTAGAATGTTATTTATATATTATCCGGCCGCAGCAGACAGAACTAACTTGAGCGGATCGTCCGACCGAGTCATTTAAGCTTGGTTTCCATGCAATCGCTACACGCTTTCGCTGACAGCTTTTGGTGATGCTGATTGGTCCGTCAAATCGGGGAACCTTCCCGATTGCGTTGGGGACTGGTACGCAGTACAGAGACTGCACTGAAAGCAATGTAGCGACAGTGTAGCGATTAAAAAAATATATTATGTTTACTAATAAAGTATCCACATGGAATTCGGTTATCAAGAAATGTGTAGGCCTAGTGTTGACTTTTGTAGGCCTACACTAATAAGGTACTTAAGATGATAGGCTACATGACCCATCATGCACCTCCACCGGATTTACCCTTTCAGGCATCTTTAAGTGCCAGACGACAACATAAGTGTCTTTGACCCAGAGGGGCATAGACACACACACACACACACACACACACACAAACCAGACTTTAGCTAAGCCGAGCCGACTCGAGGGGATCGACCGTGGCTGGCCGACTGGAGGCAGTCCGGGCGGCGTGCGGACTCACCGATTAATGGACTTGTGCTTGGCCTCATTTGGCGGATGGAGCGGATCAACTGCAGGCCATTGTTTTTTCAGTGTCATAAAATGGCGCAAGAGGACGTGGGTTTGCAATCCCAGATTATCTTGTTTATAAGAGTATTGTTGAGATCAAACACCTGCCGTAATAAATGAGCGGCAATCCGTCAGTAAATCGTTAGTGAAGCTGCAACACGCGAGAGTGCAGTAGTAATGTATACATTTCGAGTAGACTGACCAATGAGATTAAAGAACGTGCGTTGGCCATCGGATACTCTTTTTCTAAATACTGTCGAAGTGTTAGTAACATATCATTTATTATTTTTCATCAACTAAATTTCTGTTTTCCATTGCATATGTGAAAAGGCTGAATAACAAACGACATTCTTTAGTCCAAGAATGTCGATGAACTGTGTATATTTAACAAACACGTTCTAGCGCTTTGTTTATACTGTATACTATGCTTCCTAAAATCCAAAGCAAGTTGACAACACATTCGGTCTAGTCTACAGTACCAAGAATCTTATTGAAAAAATAACAAAACAACTCCCGATTCTGAATTGTAGAGACGTTACGCTAAAATTAGTCTCAATCCAATTTCATTATAGGCCTACTCGCTGTTCATATTTGTCACGGAACGCGCAGGTGTACCGGTATTACTATGGAGATAATTTCATGGTAATACATTAATTCAATCAATTTATTAAATCAATTAAATGAAATAACATAGGCCTAACATTAGCTCAAGAGAAGCAGAAAGATCCATCCATTTTATCTCGAATTAACAAATAGAAATAGCCTATATCGCTTCGCGTACTTTAACTTCATTTTTTGTGCTTCAAAGTTAAACGCATTAGGTTGGGACACGTACAAGAGTGTAGCGGGATAATGAAAGGTTATCGAAAATATTTTAACGGGTATTCCAGATTTCATGATTCATTAAATTAACTCCGTTGACACCATGGAAAATTGATAAACTAATTATTTTTGGCAGCAATAGATTCATTTTTTATTCTGCTAACAGCAATTTTTCTCTGGGTATTATAAATAGGCATCTATCATTAAAAGTAACATTGTTTAATGATTTTTTTAAAACAAAAAACAAAATAATTAAATTAACTAGGTGCAAATCTCTGTAGAAAACAGACATATACATATCAGTTGCAGGCCAAAGCATATTTCCTCTGTAAAGATAATATCACCATATTTCAGTTACTGTGATTTATATGGAAAGAAAACTATGGTCGTAAGCCAATGACGTCACAAGACAGAGAAGAAATAAAAAGTGGCGACGGATGTATTACGCGCCACTCAGTCCTAGTGCCATGTTAAAACAGCTTCTGTTGACAAGACAGTATGAGTGGACATCCAGTAGAGAAGATTTAACTTCAATGCGAACGATTTCTTGGTTCGCGATTGGTACCTTTCCGTTTTAGCAACAGGGACGAGTGCCCTCATTTACGCAGCATGGAATGAATAATTGGGTCGAATTTTTACTTCAGCAATTATGCATTCATGCTTAACCTCGCTAAAACAATAATCTAACTGCAAAAGGGGAAGCACTAATGTATTCCTGAGGTGTGACACCTAGTTTTAACTCTTCTAAATCACATTTTCTAAATTACCTTTTTTCGTTTTTTCCATCTAGATCTTGTAGAGGCGTAGCAGAAGATTACTGTAGTTCGTCTATCATTTACAAAACTCAACTGGGAATCAACATCCCGTGTAACGCACGGCGAGGATAAAAACGCGTGTTAAAACCGAGTCTATCTTAAACAGAAATGTACATGTTGTAACTCTGAGAGACGGATTTTCCCCATGAGCCTGATCTCGTTAATACAAAGGGGAAATACAAAGCGGACCTCCTTCCAAGTCAGTGTGATACTGAAATAAGCTTATAACGTTTCAAAATATACTCAGAATTTTTGTTACCTAAACTGAGAAAAGGGAGCCGCAACAATGTATTCAAACTATAGTGCATACATGGAATATGACATTATGGATTTTTATCAAGAAATTCATAACAAAATTTTTCCTGAGACGTTTGAGTGGATAATTATTGGTTTGTACATCATCGTCTTCACAATTGCGTTGGTTGGTAACTTGTTGGTATGCGTTGCGGTGATTCGCAACGCGCACATGCGTTCGCCTGTCAACTTTTATATTATGAATTTAGCAGTGGCTGATATTTTAGTAACGTTGATATGTATGCCGTTTTTACTTGTTGTTACTGTGTCAGAAACTTGGTTCTTCGGGGAAGCCGCGTGCAGTTTTGTTCACTACTTTCAGGTAAGACCATGGTTACTTTATCTTGTAGGACCTTTAAATATTATAGGTGCACTTTCCGTGGTGCAATAGATCAAAAGCAATATAGTAATTAAAATTTCTTAGCAGAATTTTAAAACAAATTAATTAGCATTGTGAAAACATTATTCAATAGTTAATTGCCAGAACCCTCGAACAAACCTTAAATAAAAGTTGATGCATTTGTCTCGCGAGAGACTACTAGAACTATCCGCCTCCAACACTTTATTTTAAAATATCTGAAGTCTGCAAGAAGAAAATGGTTTTTTTTATAATGTACTTTAATTCATTATTATTAGATGTATTAGCATTTTTTGGAAAATAGACTATTTGTAAGAACATGCTCTGCATGTAAATGCCATTCATGTTAAATATGTTACAATATTAAGCTCGTCACTTTGGTTTACTTTATTCAACTATATTTTAAGTGGGTAGCCCTTTCAGTATGGCTTAGACTAATAAACAACAAAAGAGTAGTAACGGAAAACGCAAAAAGTAAGTTGGAACACGAATATAGCATAGGCCTACATACAGATAAAAGTGGTAGGTATAGGTAAAAAAAAAAGAAAGCAGGGAAGCAGAGCTAAATAACCCGGAATTGATAATTTGAATTTCAGTTTAAATAAATGGAAAGAGATGGTGTTTTTAATGGAAACGGGAAGATTATTTAGAATTGTGGGAGCTTGGTAGCTGAAGCTACTTTTAAAGATTTGGGACAGGGAACTTGTATGACCGCATATCGTGGAAGAGGTTGTCATGAAACGGAAATGAGGTTCATTGATAAGATTGTTTAAGAAGTGACGATGTCACGGAGCCGGTTGGTTCCAACCAAATTAATGCTACGTTACCCACATACGATTGGCTCCGTGACACGTCACACTTTTGGCTTTCTATAGATTTTGAATATGTGCAGATGAGTGTCTTGACTACGAATAGTAAATACAGGGTCAATCCTAAATTTTGTAAGAAGCAGAAATTGTGTACAGCAGTAGCCTCAGAGTCTGGATTATCGATGGGGAACGTGATGGTAAAGCATGCTCACCCTATATGGGTGGAGAACCTGAAAGGCGCAACCTATCCCCCTTTTACCTTTCCATTGGTTACGCCACGCCCTAATGTAAAATAAAACGAGAACGCAGCTTTTTTTCTCTGTAAATTGTCATAATGTTTTTTTGTAAGAAGAAGCACACATTGTTTATTGGGGTAAAAATTAAAGACAAAATTTGTCGTTTGTTTTAGATGGTGTCTATCTGCGTGTCAATATTTACCTTGACAGTGATAGCAGTCGACCGTTACCTGGCGATTTGTCGCTCCTTTCATTTTCATAGCAACACAAGAAGAACCATCGGAATTATCGCAATGGTCTGGATTGTGGCTTTATGCGTAGTTATACCAACAAGTTTCCGTAGTACGCGGAAAAATAAGGCGACGCAAATACTCTTCCCGGATAAAGAGTGGCTAACGGAATGTTATCAGGTAGGCCTACATTACTTGGCATTTGTGCCTGAAAATTATATACCGGCAAAAATAGCTTTTTTTTTCTTTTTCTAAAGCCGTTGAGACATAATACCGTATCATATTAAAATCACCTGCTGATCTAAAAATATTACAAGATGAATGATTTACTGCTATGAAAATAATGGTTGAAGTGTATGTTATTAATCACGTCATTAATATGAAGTCGTCAATGTTCATATCACAGTAATCCATCAAACCACCAGAATAATAATTTAAAAAAAATAACGTTTAACGGTAGGCCTATTATTTATATGACATCATGTTTCATCTAAATATCGTGCCAAATGTTAAGGAATTCATTAAAAATGTATCTTTTTAAAAAAACAACCATTTAATGAGTCATATGGAGCCTGTCCATATACTCTATCATACTTTTTATTTTCTTTTTGTACAGGTAAGGTGGATTGATACCGGATTCTATAAGTCATACCGTGTCTTCATTGCGCTTGTGACATACTTCATTCCCTTGACGATCATCACAGTTTCGTATTCTAGGGTCTGTGTGCGTTTGTGGTCGGAGATTCCAACGGAGGAATATAGTACGGGTGTGACAAATGGAGGAAAAAAGTTAGGTCGACGTTTCAGTACCACGCAGGCGCAGGTACTACTGCGGCGTAAAATTGCGCGGATGTTGATTGCGGTGGTTGCCGCATTTGGAGTATGCTATCTACCATTCAGGATCCTCAACCTGATGAGGTAAGTGATTGGCCTACAAGGAACAACAATGAGGGTTGGGGAATATTGGATTCGAGACTAAATCCCTTTAAGTATAGGCTATATGGCTGGTAAGATAGCGTTGAATCCGTGTAGCTCTCTTGCCTCAAACGACAAAGTTAGTTAATGCGTTTTGTTTGGTTCACGGTTGAGAAATGTTGACGTGTTGGCGTAAACACAAGCAACCCTACAGGTACTGTACTTGCTTGTTCATCGCATCTAGATTGCTGTAGTGTGAAACAACCTAAGCAACAATAATGCGCGCTCGTCAATATTGCGTTATGAACTCAGATTGAGCTTGACGCACGCACAGGCCGTTAATAGTTAGCAAAGAGTGTTATTAAAACTACGGTAGTCCTGCGCACTCGTCACACGTAATAATAGGAATCTTGGTCATCATCGTTTGAACGGTGTGATCAACTCACCACTGATTTATTATAACTCTCACTTACTTGTGATACCGTCTCAAAAACGGTTCTGTATCATCAAGGGAGCGGTTGACGCAGTGGTTGCGTTTCGGTCCCTCAACTCATGGCTGGTGTTTGAACCTCCGCTGTGTAGGCCCTATTTTGTGTCCTTGGACATGGCACTTTACCTACGTTTGTTTCTCTCCACCCAAGAATATGGGTGTCTGGTTGAAATATGCTGGGGATGTTAAAAAGGCAGGGTGAAATGGAATTGGCTATCGTACCACACAATACCAAAGAGTGCGATGGGCTCTATGTTGTCTAACAGCTCATTCACACGGAGTATTGAATTTGGGAACTTTACCTTTACCAAGAAGATAATTTAGGGGGAGGATACCGCAGAATAGGATGATAATTGAGTCATTAATATATCGGTAATCCATATTTTTACTCTTTCTTATAGAACGTTCGGCTATTTTGAAGGTACGGAAGAATATTCGGATCCGTCATTTGGCAGGAGGCGAGTTCAAATCTTACTGCTTGTGTCCTACCTCCTCGTTTATATGAACAGCGCCATAAATCCTATTATCTACAACTTTATGAGCGGTAAGAAAACAAATCTTGTTAGGTTACTCATATTTTATTAGAAATCTACCAATAAAATTGCATTGAGCGTTACATATGATATGATAACTTAGGGTAGGTATTATACGATATTAAATATATGTTTTTGTACCAACAGCCAAGTTTCGGCGTGAATTCAGGTCGTCGTTATCGTGCTGCAAGATCTGTTGTAAGACTAGTCGTCGACAGTTAGTTAAACCAACGCATCATATAAGCCGCCAAGGTACGTTAGTCACTCATATGTCTGCGCTTTCAGACAGTAGAGTCTCGCGTGGTGGTGGTGGTGGTGGCTGTGGTGACGCTGAGCTTGTACCCATGCTCCAGTATCAACAGATGTCAATACGCAAAGACGGACATTGTGTGGCACAAGCTTAGTTTACTGTGGATCTGCCGAGCGTCTGAACACGCATGTTCACAATTGCTTTTCGAGTCAAGTTGTTTCAGTTATAACATGTGTAAAATCAACTCAGCCTGGCCTGTTTTTCTTTTTTTGAATAACATTTTTAAAAGATCGAGACTCAAGCGAGTGAACGAAATTGTTCGTAATAAGACTTCCGCTTCGAACAAACGGCGGCAATATAGTTTTTATATTAATTAAGGGATCTGAAAGGCCATACACAGATACGTTAAATTTAATGGTTAGCTATTTCAGTCGATGTGCAGCATAGAGTTTACATCAATTTCAAAAGATCGACCGCGGCTTCTAGTATCATCAAGTACTTTACGCAATGATTTTTGCAATTTCAGACTGATATTTTGTGTCGTAACACGAGCATACATCGAATACTCGATAGCAGTTGAAGTGAACAAATAAAAAAAGACAACAGTAATATTAAATGTCTATAAAGAAAAAAAAATACAAATTTAGGCTTTCATCGACGAATTTCGCGTATAATATAGTCCAGCCTGTGTTACTTATGGTACCGGGTACACAGATGATCTTTTAAAAGTAAAAAAATCACCTACGACAACGATGTCACTCTAATCAACAACATCACCACAAGTGGCACGTGGATTGATAGCGTTTACACGTGTTGAACGTGTGGTCGCACAAGGACAAGGCGGCCATCTCATCGCACCTAGTACTTATCATTAGACAGCTGTATGGATGACGTCAATAACTTGACCAATTACCATTACCATTGGAGAGACATAAGTAGTAGCAATAAGAAAGCGAGTGATTTATGAGATTGCAGGAATGAAATTATAAGAGCTTTGCTTCTAATAATGTGCTCAAACGACCAATCAAAACAACTATGACCTGGGTTGTATCTGTACGCGCGAAGTTGCATTGAGTTAAATTATGGTATAAAGTACTCTGGAAATCGTTGTCACGTGCACTAGCAACATTATTCGGATGATAATATATTCTGACATTCATGTATATCAATATATAAACGTAAAGACGAGATACAAATTTATGAATGTTGAATTTTTGTATTATCTGTAAATACAATATGTAAAACTTGGTTTGTGACCAGAATGCGGTATTGATTACAGCATCTTTTGAAAGAAGTACGAGGACAGTATAATAATTGTGTCGCTGTAAATATTATTTACTATTTCTGAACTGCGCAATTCTAATAGTCGCAATTACTTTCAACCTACAACCCAAACATTAGGCTAAACACAAAACATAAACAAAATGTCTGCGCGAAACAACTAACGTCATACATTAACCACTTGTGCGATTGTGTGTGGTGAGCCATAGAGTTATACGGTACCATGTTTGAAAACTGCCACACTCTTATACAGCTTACCTCGTGTTGGATTCCATGTTAAACTGAGCAATATACATTATTTTATTATATTACTTCTCCGACAGTACGGTACTCAACGTGTTACCGTATCGTACATGTTATGTGTGTAAAAAAGTCTGTCCTTCCTTATCTTATCACGTATGGGACATTACTGTAAATCGTTTTCCAGCGTAATAACACATTATATCACATACAATTACTACACACGTTCTCTACGCGTGTTACTGCATATACAGTTATTGTATAGATTTGACTAACTCTATTTCACCATTAATGTAGTCGTTTTAGATAAAGTGCGATTACCTGTAGCAGTGCCTTACCCTAATTATTTTTTGTGACATTGTTGCAGGACCAGGAATCGTGGCATTAACCGTTCTGCTAAGGCCTGACTCTTTGATATGGTTGCTAAGGTCCCTAAACTTATGTAAACTTGCGTATTGTGGGATGAGTCCGATTTACTGTAAGAATAGCACAAACAGATTGGTCAATTGTTAAGTGTGATTGACAATTCAAAAAGGTCCACTACGTGAGAATGGACAATTCCGCTAAGCCCAATCCGTTGAAAATTGTTGCTAAGGGCCCACAAAACGACAGCGAATACGTACTAAACACGTGCGTCTGAGACAACACGTATTTGTGGGACAAGCGCGTAATGCTGGTCATGTTCTGATTGGTTAGTTTTAAATAGTTTGATTGACACCCCGGAAATGCTTAATTTACTGAAATCATCGTGACCCCTCGCACTAAGCCTGAAAAAACAGTTGTCACATAAAGAGGATTGAATAAACATTACCGTACCGTATTATCTTTAAAAACACTTTTAATAGGAGCAATTAATAGGATCTGTTGCAATTAATCATTAAGACAACAGAACAATGGGCATTGTCTTAAGTACATCATAGACAAGCACGACTAGTCAACTCGTCGACTCTCCATTAAGGGTGTCCACAAGCCTACTAGTACTATTCGCGATAGAATTGAGTAAATAATAGCTAATGACTACTCGTTACCATTTTTTTCTTAGAGCGATTTTTCTTTCACGATTGTTTTTTTTTTTTTTGTTAGCTGAAAATTTACCTAATTCATACCATTGAAAACGATTTTTCCGTCATTAGCTGCTTCGCAGCTGCTATTTTATCTATCGCTCTCTCTTACAGTTAATAAAGTATTGTGTAATAATAATATAAACTGATTTTCGGAGGTGCTGAGCTGAAACAGCAACGTATGCTTATGGTTATCATCGTCACTGTAGTCGTCGTCATTATCATTTACTTGTATCGTAATAATAATAATAATTATTAATGTTATTTATTATTATTATAAAATAATTTATTATTATCGTCGTCATCAAAAACAAAATTAGAATTTTATTATAAATAATACAATTTTAATTGTTGTTTTCATTAATAATGTACATTGATTGATCATTGATATCATCCTCATATTATCATTATCATTATTATAGTTATTATTATTACTATTATTGTCTTTTTGTTGTTAAGTTTCATATTATTATTAAAAATTTATATGTATTATTAGTAATAGTTGTTGCAAATTAATGTATAGGTAGAAACGTCTGGAAAAAAAGAAAGTGTCGTATACTGACGATTAGTGTGGCCCTCAGGCCTATACTTGAAAGAGCTATCAATTAATAAATGAAAAAAAAACTACTTTATTAGCTTGCTTTACTTAGAGTTAGAGTAATGACGTCATTGAGAAAGCCCTAGTGCCCCAATGAAGAATTTCATCAAATCCACGTTGGACATATTGGACATATATAAAGATCAACTGGAAATGCATGAAGCCATTGGGGATCAAGATACACAAATTCTAGTTTGATGTTGTTAAGTTTACGGCTCAAATGTTGTAAAATATTGAATAAAACATGGTAATTTTGAATATTGTATTCCTTGTGATACGATAAACAAAACAAGTATTCGGGTCCCTTTTATTAGAAGTATAAACACTGGTTTAATTGATTATTTTGCACACTCAAGAAGTGTCCTCGTTCCATATTAGGGGTGTCACTTAAATATAGGTGTTGACCGTAGTGTTAAAATACATACTGAAAGTCTCGTTTCTCGAAAAGTGTCTCCTTTAAAGGTGTCCACTGACGGGGAGTTTTCCCAAAGAAGGGGTTCTGTTGTGTATTTCTTCGTAACATTATCTACTGTTGCCATTACGGGTGCTGTTACCGCCACTATTTTGTCTAATATTTTTGTAATGTTCCGCCACACGTCTCCGCATTGACCATTTATAGACACACTAAAACGGTGTAGGGAAATCTCCATGTTGCTGTTACAATACGTATTTTCTTAATGTTGGAATAAGCTATAGGCTTACTATTATTATTTTCCCGTTACATCTTGTAAAAAGCACACCGCCAACGTTGGGTGTTGTGTTAGTACATCACGAAGATGTACTTGTGCAACTGTATTGTCGTTGTTTTGTCAGAATATTTTATGTATAGCTCATAAAGTATGTTTAAACACTTGAGGAAGTGCTTTTCATTTCTAAAGGATTTTCATGTAATAGCTGGGTAATCGTAGACTTTCAAATGCCAATGCCCATCATTTATTAAGGTATAATCCGATTCTTTTAGGATGATGTAACAAACTCTGTAATTTAATTATTGAATTTCAGACATTCTTACTATTTTAGCTTTGATGCATTTTTGTTTTGTTTTTTGTTTTTGTTTTGTTTTGTTTTTTGTTTTGTTGTTGTTTTTGTTTTGTTTTGTTTTGTTTTTTTTTGTTTTTTTGTTTTTTTTTTACCACTCACTTGACGGATATCCCATTCTTTACTTAAATTTATATAATGTTTCTGTATTTTGAACAGATTTTGAAACAGATACCGTTAAATCAAAAAATATATAGGCTACCGCTATAATAATCTGCAAAAAAAAAAAAGTTACAATTAGTACGCGTCTAAGTGGTTTACAGCTAGCAGTGGCGTAACTCCTATGTGCTCTCGTGCTGCGGCCCGCATGGCCTCCGACCTCTAGAAGCACTGGACCCATCCCTTAGGGTCCTCGCTCTAAAAATACGAATAGACCTGAAAGAGATTCGATTGTCAAATAAATACTGAAATAATATATTCAACCGGTGGCAGATTTAAGGGGAGGCCCGGCACTCAGTGGATCCGCTACTGTAAACTTTGACACCTACGTTATGCATCTTTTCAGCTCTACGTTTAAATAAAAAGAAGGATAATCTTTACTTTTCATGTTTCTATACTTTATTTTTTATGAAATGGTGAAATTAAAAGCACTCTAATCGATTAAATTAGTCCTCTAATCCGTTGAAAGGCCGTATCTTCCGGTCGGCCCCCACCCCCCACAGTTCCGCTGTGGCCTTATTCTGCCGCCAGACCCCCAACCAATGGGCCCGGGCAGCGAAAGCCCGTGGCCTACGGCCGCTCTTGGCGGCCCTGGGCTGAGGTGGTGTAGACCATCCATTTGTTAAATAGACATCCTCTTTTTCAAATTTCTGGATCCGCCGCTGATATCATACCATTTTAGTCGTTAAAACACACTGGCAAAAAATAATGTTAAAACAACATGATTGGCAACCAAGACCCAAAAAGGGCCCTGGTGTCTTTGAAAGCCACAATGCCCCCGGCCCAGTGTTACGTCACTGGTTCACAGTGTGATAATCGTATATTGTGGTGTGACAGCGTAGGTTACATTCATATCGTAGAGTTTGCGGCAGAAATTTACCTGTCTATTGGACCAGGCGTTATCGTCAACAAGCACACACCCCTGCATCAGCAAAGCACACAACGTTTTAAGGTCTAGCATACTCGCAGCCTGAAATGAAGTTAAGTTACTTCTTATGAATGGAACTCTATTAATCTAAAGTTGAAAATATATTGTAATGGAAGCAACATAGAGGACCGCATTCATCTCAAAATTCAAAATATAGGACTTTCAATGTTGAGCTAAAAATATTATATATTCGAATTGTTTATTTTGTATAATCAAGTACTTAGTAAATTTGAAATCAAAGAAAGTATCTTTCCTATAATCAACTGACGCATAATATTTTGTATACCCGTATTCTTTTATATAAACCCTTTAATTGACTGGTAATTAAGTTAAGGATTATTGTAATAAAAAGTCTTACCGTATTTTTTCGATATGTATAAGATTAGAAGTTAATATTTGATTCTTTCTAATAAACTATTCAATGTTTTCATTGATTTTTATGTATTATTTCATGTATATTATGACTGGCGATATATTGTATATTTGCGTCAAAGATATCATGCAAGATATTTGATTTTATTGCGTCAGTATTATGTTCAGAGGGCGCACTTTCTGCAATTCTAGTTGTCATGGATCACATTGTTTATTATGTTGTTCATAAAAACGTAAAGCTAAAAATTCTTAAAAATATGTACTGGTATCTATTCTTCCCATCGAGAGTTAGGCCACAAAATGTAGGCCTATAGACTATGATCGTTCTTTGCACATTTTGTATTCAATTTTTGTTTTAATTAAGCCTACGTATGGGGCTAACTTATAAACCTGCCATAATGATAAAGTATTATAAAGTATTTGTCAAAATAAAGCAAATAATATTGGTGATTTGTTATTGGTCATAGACTCATTCAAAAATATATAATTATGGCATATGGTCTACATTTTTGGAAATCAAAACAGTACACAAGATGATATGATGGTGATAGTGATGGTGGTGGTGATGATGATGATGATGATGATGATGGTGAAGGGATGATGATGATGATGGTGGTGGTGGTGTTGGTGGTGGCGGGGATGCTGGTTGTGATGATGACGCATTTTGAATTAAGAAGTTTTTAAAGAATTTTGATGTGGACTTTCGGTAACCGATTTATTTGATTTAATCTTGTCTGTGTCATTTTGAATCATTGAAAATTGTGTTACACAAGTAGAGATGCTCGTTAAACAACGGTGCCTTGTCGTTGAGAGATTGAGGACTTTTTTTAAAGCATTTTTCAGACTTTTAAGTTGGATAATAACCAATATTGAAAGAGTTTCGTAGTAGAATATCTGAATCCGCAATTAACGAAAAAAGCTGATCAATGTCTTATTTATGGTTAATTATTTGGCAATATATACACAACATTCATGCATACACACATAGACACCCCCCCACACACACACATCACACACACACATACATATATATATATACATATATACATATATACATATATATATATATACATATATATATACATATACATATATAT